CCAAGTTCAAGTTTTCCATAGATTCTGAATGCTGTTGTTATAGTCATCTGTTATATCGGCAAGGCGGGCTCACGCCATGGCGATGAAAGCTGGGGAAATCCTGACGACATGGTCGATGAAGGGTACGTTTAACTGTGAATTCGGGATGCTTTTTGAGCGGGTGGCTGATACGAGTTACTAAACCCACAGAGACCGCTGGAGATTCAACTATGGCGTTGCTCATGGTAACCCCTGTGGAGACCACTACATTTGCTATTATAACAAGTAATCGTAGCCGTCACCGAGGATGTGTAACCTCGAATTCCAAGTAGCGATACTGTATATGAATGTATGTGATAAGTTAGGGCGTGTAGGAAATTGGAATGATAGTGTTAAGTGACTTAGCTTTTACGGCGAAATATTAAATCGAGCGATAGACACGATACGCCCGAGTTGCAGTGGTTTTTCAGTGAAAAGGTGTGAAAAATGGAGAAGATACATGCTTTATTTCTTTGATGCAATTTCGGAACGAATGGACCATCCCGAATGTTTCGAGAAGTTCCAACAGTGGAAAGTGACCTGGAAGCTGTCACTCGCAGAAAGCACGGAGTATCTTGGGAGTTCCATTCCCGCTGAGGCTGAATAAATGCAGTAAGCTGAACCAAGGCTATAGATAGTAAGGGATCACGATCGATCAACGATGAGCATTAAAAGCAGAATACTGATTTGTAATACCAATGCCACACCCTGGCCCTCGAGATCAATGTTTGCTAGAGTTGTGACTATGCAAAAGTATGCGTGAGGGTTTGAGTCGGTTGTGCTCTATGCCTTTATAGTGGGTGTAAAGGCCAAGGTTTAGTTTGCGGAGCTCGAGATGGGTGCTATAACCATCTGAGGCGCTATAATTGCTCTAGACTGAGTTCCCCGACGGAAAGGAATTGAACATACACCACATACTTGTTTTGTGCAATTTCACCAGTTCCCAGAGGTAGTATCGGTATAGTATCGATATACTCTCCACGTTGATCAGAGATGCGTGGACGAACCGTGTGTGGAAGATAGCATACATCAAGGATTGGGCATGCACCCTGCGACATGAGAGAAGAGAGCAAGCCAGTAAAATTACTGTAAAACGGCATGATGCTAACAACCTTACACGTGTTCTTCAAGTTGTCCGGCCCGGGCGTCGAACTCGGCGCTTCAAGTTCTCTTCTGCCCATGTGGGTTTATTGGTTCACTTGACTCTCGATGCTTCATACTCAGGGTCAGTCTTGAGATGGTGAGGAACGATACAGGGATGTATTAGGATGTATTGCGTGGAATACGTGATTTGATTGCAAAGTAAATTTTCGTCGAGCATTCCACGATCACACGGATTAAGGCTAGTCCATTGGTGTATGGACCAAGTTTGGGCGCTAACATCTCAAAGTTCCATCCGAATTGAACACAGTACCCCAGTATCCCTACTTCTGTGAAACTTTATAGTTCCGCCGGATGTGCACTTCTGTTTTTAAAAGCATCGGGGATTGTTTGGAACAATTTACCCCTATCAACACTTATATGTACTTACAAGTCAGTGAATGAGGACTTCATCTAACATCAATCTGCTCCCCTTGACCAGCATTCTGAATCATCTGAGTCGGCAGGCAAGTATCTCATTTATCCGTTACTAATACTACTAAATCTCGCAACATGTACAGGGCTGTGATCGCCGCGACGTGAGCCTTGCGTGAGCCCATCATTGATTATTCATTCCAAATTTATTCTGACCAAGCTGTTCCCAGTAATTTATCGGAGAGTCGACTCACCAACACTGCAGTGCGAAAGGACCTTCCATGAGGTTGTTGTGGTGCTACTATTCAGCTCGTGGCGTTTTATCTCGGTGGGCACTGGGCTTTTCATGGACACACGAGGCATAACAACATCCATTATTATTCTTCATGTACCTTTGGTTGTCGCCTTGAACGATACCGAAAGCGAGTTGATGTTCACTCGTGCGGCGGAGACTCTACCGCGAACAAGTTTTGTTGACACACTCACCACAGGCAATTGATAGCGCATTGGAAGCGGGACAATAAATGACTGAGGGCTCATGAAGCTTATATGGATTTTTTGGTAATGTTCATGTTACCCCCATTAATTACTCTGACCATTGTGCCGTTACCGTCACTGATTTTGTCTCGCTCAGTGGTGACGACGGGAAGGGCTGGGAGATGTTAAGCAAAGAACCGTAAGGGCAATTAAGCTGGTTCTCTCGTCAGGGGCGACGGATGGGTTCCGAAAAAGCATTCATAGCTTTCTTACCAGAAACATCAACGACAATACTAGTCAAGCACTTGATATGAGTCTAATACTTCTTTCTTTCGACTCTATAACTCTCTGGAGCGCATACAGCCAAGCGATTCATTGCCAGACGTTGTCATCGACGCCTTGAACTGAGCACTACCATAATTCAAATTCGTCAATCATAGCTGCGTGTCCGAGGCGGCGGTTAACACTTCGTGGCGCCTGCATTTCCAAACCGACTAGGAAACCAAGAGAATGAAGTAGTGATATGCGGCTCACCCGCTGGTATTATTTTGGCTCAGCAAAACATGAAGAGCTGAAGGGGGCCACCACCGTAATTTCTTGGTAATCTCCTCACCAGATTACGGCCTCTCGGGTATTTGAAAATGATATATGGTGGATGCTTATGCTTCTAAGCTCAGGCTGGTCGAACCTTCTATTCATACTAGGAAATGCATTGACCGGGTGGATCCAATGACTAAGATCAACTGAGATGAGATGTAGTCTTGAAGAAAAGGAGCCGTGTCGATGGCTCATTCATTTAGTGGTGAATAGAGTTCACCTGATACTTGCTTTATTGCATGTAGGCCGTGGCGCTCATCAGCGTGCTCAAACAATCGATATGACCTCGTTAGGAGTTCTGTCACGGTCTCCGCTTTGCGCGGTTCTCAGAGCGCTCAAGACCTTCCATTCCTCTGGCTTCTAACCGAAAAGATGTTGATGCAGCGTTGAGCGGTTATAACCTTAGAAGCCAAAGGCTACATTAAACTTTACAGGTGCTAAGCGCTATACACTAAGCATGCAAGTTTAATCAAGCTCCGAGGCTCTCGCTAGGTCACATTCTGATTTGAATCTCTGCCCCTGAACGTGCAGGTTGTGGACAATCAATCGGAGCTTCCGTATTGCGGAAGGACATCAAGAACGTGGTTGTGATAAATCTGCACAACCAAAGCTTCAGGTCACTTGAAAGTACAAGTGTACCAAGTATGGAATTGACGTCAAACCCCCTAACTCTACTCCTCCGGAATTCAAAATCAAATTTTCTTGATCTTCTGCCGGGACGCTGAAAGTACGAGAGTCACTTGCGAGCATTTCGAGACTCCGAAGGGTCATCTGCGGCTAGAACTCCATGGTCACTATGCATGTGGCTTGTAAAGCTGTTGAGACTCTCGTTACCACAGAACAGCTCTACCAGCCCTACTAGGAACTAGCCGAATTTCGAATGCATGGCCAGTACTGACTACCAGCGCTTAAAATCTCCCAACATCTATAAAAGCACCTTAGTTCTGGCCTAAAAACTTCAGCATCTGCTCTTACTTCAGTTCTCAACTTGACCTCGAACCAACCATGCAATTCTCAACTCTTTTCCTAGCTCTAGCCACTGTCACCATTGGCGTTGTCGGTGTCCCCACCGAAAGCGACCTTACCAAACGCGAGATATCCTACGGGAATCCCGACCTCGTCGTTGATCAAGGTGACCGCTGGAAGCTCAACTTTGGGTCCACGAATGGTCACCCGAACGCTTGTCCTGGACACTGTGAGTCATGGTTACCTGCTCCTTCAAGTTGTCCATACGTTCTGAACTCTGTTGTTATAGACATCTGTTACATCGGCAAGGCGGGCTCACGCCATGGCGATAAAAGCTGGGGAAATCCTGATGATATGGTTGATGAAGGGTATGTTTGACTTTAAACTTGATTGAATTTCGAGCGGGTGGCTGACACGAGACACAGGGACCGCTGGAGATTCAACTATGGCGTTGCTCATGGTAACCCCTGTGGAGACCACTACATTTGCTATTACAACAAGTAATCGTAGCTGGCAGCGAGGATGTGTAATTCCGATTTCCAAGTAGCGATACTGTATGCGAATGTATGATATCAGTTAGGGCGTGTAGTAGGAAATTGGAATGATAGTGTTATGTGACTTAGCTTTTACGGCGAGATATTAAGGTGACCGGCAGACATGATACGCCCGGGTTGCAGTATCCTTTAGTGCTTTAGTGAAAAGGTGTGAAGAGCGAGAGTAAGAGAAAATACACACTTTATTCCTTTGATGCAATTTCGGAACGAATGGTCATCCCGAGTGCTTCGGGAAGAAAATGATCCGGAAGCTGTCGATCCGCGGTATCCCCAATGATCTGTTGCAGCAATGCGTTGTGCTTATCCGAGAAGGCACTCGTCAAGCTCGAATCCTTCCTCGAGTGACGGTGAGCATCAGAACATACCTCAGGCTGTAGGCTTACTGTACTCGGTGAGCCGTTCAACCTCTGGCATGCCGTAGTTGGAGATTCATAATAAGTTCTGAACACGTGTATCTGCATTCAGCAGCACCTTGTTCTGGTTCGCTGTGAGGGCTTGGCGTATACTGCAGTGAAACACGAGGATTCAAAACTTTTTTTGTCCAACCATAGCTATAGACGGTGACGACACACCTAGGACGGCACTGCCAGTGACTCTTAAGCTTGCAAGTTGCAACTTTCCGAGTTCTTTTACTAGTCACTCGCCCATTCCATACTTGTCTGCTTACCTGATGCAGCAAGATAGCATTAGACATGGGACACCCTGCGCAAGATTGGTCGCGACATGAAAAAAGAAAGGAAGCCAGAAAAACGACATGTGACATCTTTCCACGTGTTGTCATCTGGCGTCTAACTTGAACACGGCGCTTCTAGTTCCATCGAAGCAACAAGATGAGCATTGAGCACCCGGAGTCTCGGAGTCTGGTTAAGCTACGGGGGTATAGCTCAGCTGGGAGAGCAGCAGACTGAAGTTGCCCGTTTCTTTCTAATGTTCTGAAGGTCCCGCGTTCGATCCGCGGTACCCCCAATGGCGCAGGATCTATCTATCGATTTTTTGTGCGCTCACTACGCTCGTATGTGTTCCTTGACTGTGATTGACTGTGACTGACGGCGAACATGATCGTTTTCTCAACAAGGTGATCCTATCCCAAATACGCTTGTGTGCAAGTCTGATTAATTTCTTTAGTGGACTCGGAAGTTGTCGCTTAATCGAAGAAAAGGAAGTGTTTTGATTGACACGAATTGCTGTAGTCCAACGCGCGTCACCGGATCAACTTGATCAGGAAACGCGTTTCCAGCACTGTATTTTATAAAGAAGTGTGGAGCAGGGGGGATAGACATGATTCGATTCGGAGTATACGCCAAAACAGATCAAAGGCAGACTACGTTAGTGCATTAAGAGGGAATCGAACCCCCGGCGGGTCGAGGCTTACGTATTGCTCCGTCCCCTGATGGCAACGACCCAGGTTACCACTACCCCATTAATGCGACAAAAGCGCCCAAAGTGCACGAGACCTCAAACTTGCCTCGAACCATCGTGTAGCATCATGTTGTGTCGTTTTGGGTCCGCCGCACGCCGTTCCTCTCTTTTGAACCAAACCGTTCTCGCCTACCCCAGCCGGTCGAAGAGTATTTCCTTCCAACCACACAGTCGTCGCCGCCTATCTCTCAACGCAAACTCAAAGTCGACGAGGATATTTGGAATGGTTTGAACGGGTTGCGCTGACTCTTGCCCGCCTTGGCTCTTTTTTAAAAACTGACTCTATCGACAGGCACTCCTCTATCACTTTTCTCTACCCTCCGCCGACCTCTTCCCGAAGATCTGCTCCAACTCGATCCACCAAATGACCTCATCAAGACACGGAGTTCCAACAACAACCACCTGGGCGCGTTCCTTCTCCAACAAAACACGCACCCATAATCCATTCGACCAAACTTGCGCGCTTTTCCTATACTCCGAAGACGCTTTCATCACGCACTCTGTGGAGATCGTTTTTGGCATGGTGGCTTTGGGCTTTGGGCACAGGATAACTGCGTCGTTCCGAGGTACGTTTCACAACTTCTCACGATACACACTAAAATTCAAACTTTTTACCCAGATGATCAGTCAAGAAGCCGACTACGGACATCACTTCACGCATACACCGTTCAAGCTCTACCCTGCAGGTGTTCTTTCCACCGCCAAGGTTCAGAATCTAGAGTTCCCCTCCACTTTCTAAACGTGCGCACTCTATGACTCGGAAGACGCGATGGATTGGTTTTGGGAACGCCTTTGAGATTCGGGAACACAGAGAGAAGGGAATCAGGATGACGGCGTCGGTTTGTGGTACGTTCAACGATTTGTCGCTGCAAACATTGATGCTCACACTTTTTACTTCGGCATTCGATCGAGAAGCCCGTTGTGTAGGGTAAACCGACCTACCCCATTCACTGGGTATTCTTCCTCAAAGATCGTTCTTTGTCTCGATCTCTAGGTGAAGGAGTGACACTATGATAGGTAGGTTCTTCCTCGGCTCTGGGGCGATGCGCAAACTCGAATCTCACACCGTGTCTTAGAAGCTAAAACTTTCTATCCTGGGGGCTTTCGGTTCTGAATTCACAGTTCTGCCTCGCCAATGTATGTTGTCCAGGCACTTGCCTCCATTTTTTGAACGCTGACCTACGCCTACAGGTACTTTGACGTTGCTTTGGAATCGGATGGTACTCTCCGATATCAGACTCGTGTATCAACAGAAGATGCTGCGATCACGCACCCTAGTTTCCGCAGTGACTATGGACATGGTTTCTAGTGATGAAAAGGTCACAAAACGCCGGGAAGAATACGTTTACCGATCACGAGACTACTTTCAGTCGAGACTCGACAAGCTGACATCCCGAAATAGACACCGGCGTTTTACTTCATTCGCCTCAATCCCCAGGACACCTGAGGTGTCCTTCACTATCATAGCCATTGCTTCCTGTCCTTTATACACTTATCTGCCAATCGCGAGTGCCTCGGAGGCTGTTTGCGACATTCTCGCGAACATACCAGCGTTTCGTTGCGTCTCACTATACGACTACACCGCACCTGGATAACTTGTTTGTATCCTGGGGCTACCATAGATGATTGACCAAGAGGAAGGTGCCTCCCAAGGAGTGCAAGAACTACTCGGACATTCCGCTCTCCCATAGCTATTTTATTTTGTGGCCTGTCCAATGGCTCGGAAGTCCTTTTCCGTAGGTTACTACACATTGTGTAGATCACCTACCTCCATATTTGGCGTCTCTTCTACTCCTTTTCCGCCATGAATGTCCTCAGTATGGTCCCTATCATCTACATCCAACATATTACGAAGGGGCTCGACGCTTCCTGGATAAGGAGGTGGACTGGTGACTGGTGACTGGCTTCGCGCACCAGGTGTATTCTGAGACGAAACTTGCTTTTGGCGTACTCGAGCATTTGGACTTTTATGTCCCAGGAATGGCGTTACTGAATGGTCTGCATTTGATGTCTATAAGCATGAATATTGCAAAATAGTAATAAGTCACACTCACGGGTCATTGTTGTATTCTTATTCACTCGTTTCTTCCTCACCCAAAGCATAAGCCCTATCACAAGTGCTACAAAAAACACTGGACCAACAACAGCTCCGGCGATAGCTCCTTTAGATAATCCTTTGGAAGGTGTATAGTCGATGTAATCCACCCATATTTGTTTGGTAGCGTTGGAACACTGGATCAGCAGCTCGTGTTCCCCGTCTTCCAGGATTGAGTTAAGGAGGTACCCATAATGCTCAGGGCTGTGTTTAATTGGCTCCGGGATTTGTGGCTTAGTCTGATAATTGTCACTCCCGTCAAGCTGGAACACCTTTTTTGGTTGGTGAGAGATATCAGTCCCCTTCTTGTATTTAACCTCGCTGTACGCGGAAACCTGAGTACCTGGGTAATCTTAATGATGAGAACGTCGCTGTGATCTGAGAAGGGAGAGGCCTACCCTTGAATTTAAAAGAAGCTTTTGTATTTGGATCGCTGCAGTTGGCTGTGGTGACAGTTCCTTGGCTGTAAGCATTGCGCTTTTGAGGCCGCCAAACACTTTTTGGCATGTAATTTATATAGCTCGAAGTATCTTCTATGTGGGGCATTCTTCAATGAGCGTTGGACAAGACGGAGAATAAGAGGTGGTCTCTAAATCACAGTTCCCATCTTATATAGATCAAAGATGCCTTCGTGGCACCGCGCCACTACCTGACGGTGCATCATCCCGATTTGTCTTAACCACACAAATCAAGGACATCATCTTCGACGTGACTGGGTATGTAAATTGTGCAGGATTGCTTTCGCATCAAGCCCGGGCTTAGGCGCAGCCAATACATTTCTTAAACCGAGATATCGACATGACCGTTTGGCAGTGTCATGTCGTCAGGGCAAAGGCCATTTTCTTACAACGCTGACTCGGAAAGCACCAAATCTAAGCACTAGTGCTAAAAATCAGGCCGGGAAAATTCTGACTCGGATGCGCCCAAAGTTTACGCATCGACGCAGATTTGATGCAGATCCCGTCTGCTCAAGAACTGTTCTTGAGCACGATATGTTTCAGTTGTACTAACGCCGTACAGAGGACATTTGTATCGATATCAGACGATTTGATTATTGGTTGGACTCGGAATCGGGTGTCGTCTGTTAGGTTTGTGCTTCTAGAGTACTTCCAACTTGATTTTAGTGACTCGGACTCTGATAGGACGGGATGATTTGTGTTACGGAAGTACAGCCGCTTAAAATAAACATTGCGTCGGCATCTGCCGGTATTGGTTTCAGAATGGATCAGAACCTGTGTTCAAATTTCAAATGTGAGTTGGCGGCGGCGCATCTCGGCGCATATCTAGATCTGGATAATGTACATTATATAGGGAGTCCTTCCATCCTTCGAACACTGAACTGCGTTTACAGGTAAGTAGAACCCATCATGATCGAGCTTCCAGGAGGAATTGTTACTTCGGCCGTGTTACAAGTACAAATAAGTACATCGGTGCTATCATTCACTAGGGCCTTTCGTATATATACCCTTTCAATGTTTGAATTCCCATGTCCTTTATTGCTCAAACAAAATCCTTTGTGATCACTTGCTTAGCCGCGTCCTTCGCACCGTCTTTCTCCTTATCTTTCTCACTGTCACTTCCACCCCTCCGTAGCTCAAGCGAAACAACTCGAGCCCGAACTTGCTCTTGAACGTCTTCACCGTGGCCTGTAGTAGTCTGCGTAGGTCTACCGCCAAACCCAATACCCACACCCGTATCCCCACGCTCGCTCGTCGCATTCCTACGGAAATCCATCCGAGAAAGTTTTGTCGGGCTCGTTGTAACGGTACTATCATAATCCTGTCCGCGCGCCACGCGGACTATGATTAACAGTTCTGCTATCCCCTGCCGTATCCCACATCCCATCAGCATGAGCATGATTCCCCACAAAAGATAAAGAGGCAAAGCAAAGACCCAACTATGAACACCCACCTGAATACTTGAATACTCCAACAAAATCAAATTCTGCACATTGCTCTTCAACCCAAACGCAAACACAAAAATCACATCAAACACGAAATACAACGCCGCGCTTTCAACCAGGGTCGCTGTAACACTAGTGTATGTTTTAGCATGCTCCGCGCCGAGAGTATCGATGATCTGTTTTCGGACGGAGAGTAGACGGATGGAAATGAGGAATGTGAAGAGGAGGTTGAAGGTACAGGAGAGGACGAGGAAGGCGATTTGGACTTTGATGTTGAAGAAGACGGCGGAGTGTTGGGCATAATACATTACTGCGATTGAGAGGGCTGTGGGTGTGGATGTAGTGTGTGAATGAGAAGGGATGGGAGGAATGGGAGAGATAAGGAACGTACCTACGATACCGAGATAAACCGTTGTCATTAAAACCTCAACCCATAGTTGATAGTTGAATATCACGAAACAGCGATAAAGTAACAGTAGATCCATGATCCAAATCATCACGAACGTACTGTCAAAGGCACGTTGTCAACTCATCCTCAACCCGTAGAATATAGATACACAAACCTAACAACTGCCATCCGATTCCACCAATAATCAAACTCGTTCAAAATTAAATCCTCTGGCGTCCTTCCCCCAGGACCAGCGAAATTAATCCAAATATCCTCGGTGTATCTCGCGTTACAACCGAAGCACATCGTGCTCAGGATGAAAGTTGTGAAGATGTAGGCGTAGAGCCAACGGATTTGCCATTTGCCTAGGCGGTTTCGGCCGTGTCGGAGGGCGAGGGTTGCTTGGATTGTTAGGAGGAAGAATACGCCTATGTTTATGGGTTAGTGTGGTGTTGAAAATGGAAGAAGAGGAACGGAGAATAGAAAATGGGGATGCACGTACCATACACGAATCCGGAGAGAATCATCCCGTTCAGCCGGGATCGTTGGAGCCATAGGTCCCGTGGAATAGCAGGAGCATCAGCCATGATAAGTAGGGCTTGAAGTTGAAACGACTTTGCAC